TATTATAGCTAGAGGGTGCGATGTAAGCAGTCGTAGGGTGTGAATGCCGATGTGAATGTGAACTGTGGGTGTGGGATGTTGGTGTGAATGTGGATTGTGGGTATGAGTAGCAGTGTTTTATCCAAGTCTGTTTCCCCGGAGGAGCGATTTGCAATTTCTGGAAGCGAAAAATTATTTTCAGGAGGGCAAGTACATAGTTACTTCCGCGAGTGTCGGAGAGCGAACTCGATTTTTGTGGGAACGCAGCTCCCTTGGGCACTTCCTGAATAAAATACTGACGAGTATGGTTACAGATGTGGATGTTGTTCTTTCTATCACTCACTCTCACTCTTCACACTAACGTCCACCGATACCTACCGGTACCCCCACACTGGGGACGTGTCGAGACCGAGAGGCTCGGTCTCGGTCAGTCTCGGTTGAGAATGAACGAGACCAAGATTCTCGATTCAGCCCCCATCTCCGTACATCCCGACTCCACGCTTTACTAACACCTGCATACTCACTGCTACAATTGGTTCAAGAGTACTTTTCCAAACAGTTTCAAATAAGTTCACGTAGACATTTTACTCACTGGACAAGAGTGAAATGCAGGAGGGTCAAAAGTAAAGAGGCTCAACTGTCCAAAGTTCAATTATTAGAAGGTTCAGACACCCAGAACCCAAATGTGTAACTCAAACATTGACGTTGAAACGTTGAAGATTCAACTGTCTATATAACCTTCGAAGAGTGCTCAGACTATAAGAAAGACCGGAAATACTCTAACTCCTTTAAAAACTAGCAGTGTCCAGAAATTCCACTAAAACATGGTTCTATCTTGTCGAAAATAAGTTTGTTTTTTGCAGAATTGACGTCTTGATGAGCAAATATAAGAAACCATTGAATGTTTGATTTTTTTTCTACGATAAATGGCACATACTATCTCGATTGGATGATATTATCCCTCACAGTTTTTAGCCCTACAAAACTAGAGTATCCATAGCTGCAGTTGTCGAATAGCTTCGCCAAACGTGCAATTGAATGTGCTCTTTCTGATGGCACCATTTTAGACTGAAAATCTCGAATCTGTAAAATCGTTTTTGGCTCAAAACCCCATCCTTACGATCCCGCTTGCCTCTGGCTTGACTAATATTCTGTAGATCTCGAATATAAAAATCCCATTTGACCTTAGACAACTGTTATATCTGTGAATAAAACATAGAACTAAGTCAACATGTGCGAGTTAGAGATGTTAACTCAGTTGGATTGATACGGGTACTCACTGCTTTAGTGTCTCCATGGGCCACCCATAACTCAAACCAGTTGCTTGAGTAGATTATTGATGGAATATCACCTCTGATCTACCTATAAAAAGTTTCAGGTAGATTGCATGAGTTAACGCCAAAGTCATCCTTGTGCTACCCCGTTGAATACTCCAAATTTCATAAAAATTAGTTACGAAAAGGTTTTCTCAACGAGTGTGTGGTTAAAATAGAAAGTTTTCGTCAAGTCAAATTTATTTTAAGTTCGCTGTAACGAATTCGGTACGATTTTCATGAACCTGTTCAAAAAAAAAGATCTTCATGATACCAGGGAGTGCTTCGGATCTTTCATATTATCTGAGTACTTTCTAAAAATAAATGAGATATACATAATCTGCACATTTCATGCTATTGAATTACAAAGACTTGTGATTGAATAGCCAGAGAATTGTTTTTTCGATACCTGAGGGGACCTCAAGTATCAAAATTTGAGTTGTGACCATGTGAAATACAGAATTGTGAAGAATATTGAGAGTTCGATGTTGACTTTCAAAGTAATAAAATCAGGTTTAAACAATTTGGGGCTTCTCATCCGTAATTCCACGCAACTTTTGATATATTAAAGCGTGATTAATGTATGATAATAAACTAAGAAATGAATAACCATCAACTACATGCTTTTCTTAATCTTATTTTACTATATTTTGCTTGTTCGATAAAGTTAGAGATACTTCACTTTACTTTACTTTTCGGGTAAAGTATATTTACTTTACTTTACTCGATAAAGTAAAGTAGATCAACTTTACTTTATCCGGTAAAGTAAAGTAGGATTACTTTACTTTACTTTACTTTAATAAAGTGAAATAAAGATAAAGTGCCACCCCTAGATGTGTCGGAGAAAAAAGAGACAGAGAAAAACAAGGTGCATACGATGTTTTTTTACGTAGTATGAGCGATGACTTAATTGTAAGGAGAAAAAAAAGCGTACTCTTGTATTTCTCATACATCTTCTTGCTTTTTATTCGAATGATGAGTCCTCTGCGAAGTGCATTAAATTCCATCTGCAAAGGGAGAGAGAAAAACGGCACTCTGAGGAATGTATTGGAAGAAAGAAAAAACTACGCAAAAAAATGAATGAAGTAACTTCTTCAAAGAACAACAAAACACGAATATATATCGCGTATAGAGAGAGCGAAAGATAAGGAAAAGAATGTTATTGCAGATAACAGGGTGTCGAGCGTGAGTGCGTAGATGTGAATGTGTGGGTATGAGTATGGGTGTGGATGTAGGATGTGGATTTAGGTGTGGATGCAGTTGTGGGTGTGTGTATGGAGTTATGGGTGTGTGTATGGACGAAGAGAACAACCACATCCACACCAGAGCTGCCACCTCTTCTGCTTTTAGCAGAAAAATTCTGCTTTTTAAAGTTTTTTCTGTTTTGTCGTTTCTGGTTTTTTTTGATACGGCGTTATTTATTATTTCAATCAACATTTTTCACCTGAAATACCTTCATTTCTATAATTATTAAAAACACCGTATCAAAAACTACTGATATTTTTATGCCATTCTAATTCTTTCTATTTGATACAGATGATTTTTATTTTCCACTAACTATAAACAACTACCAATCTATATATTTGGCTTTAAATCAATTCTTTACCTATGGTTTTCTATCGCATTTTAATTGCTCATGTAATTCATATACATCAACATATACATTCTTTCTTTTGTTTTCTCAATGAACATGAATAATTAATATGATTAGTGAGAGGAAAGGAACAGAAAAAACACCTCTAGATGATAACGACAGCTCGACTAGCGAAGAAGGTACTCACAAAGCAGTGGTAGTTGCTGAGGTAATAATTATGTCATCAGGAGTTAAACCAGAAAACAGAAATTGAATAGAGTTATCTCCAATAGAGAATGGTTCAAAGTTGTCGAATATTAATGATCCTTAAAAGAATATAAATTTGATCCGTCTCAGCTAACATTCATCGTTCGTCATCAACAGTTTTCCGAACATTGCTTATAAAAAGCTAATATTGATAATCCTATGAACAATAAGAAACAAAAAAATTTTAAATACTATGATTTAATCAACAATTATTTTGAATTTCTCCCTATCATATACTATAATGGACAAATATTTATTAGGTAAAAAGGATTTATCAAAAGCTCTTAAATCAGATGAAGAATACTCTTTAAAAAAAACGTGTTCATTGATTCTGTCTATTTGTTAATTAGTTGTGCTTTGTGATGCCATACAATACGAGTGATTATATACTGAAACTAAAATTTAAAACTAACGGGTAGCGCGTAATAAAAGAGAGTCTCAGTATTTTGTTCACATCTTAAGCGTTATCTTATCTCTCGCGCTTTATTTTTTATATCGAAAGATTCCCCGTCTGATTCTGCAGAAATTGGTATATTTCGCTGTAAAAAAAACACTCATCTCTCTTTCAACATCATCA